TTCCATCTTAAAAGGTCAACCTTATTAAGAGGAGTAACCCAATCTTTTATAAGTTGGTCTATGTTTTCATGTTTATTTGATGTGGGATTCTATCCCTTAACACTAATTATGTCAGCCAGTTGTCGATGCATATTTTTGTTAATTTTTCACGATTCAAGTGCACCTATGCCTATGTAACTTTGCATGTACATGCATGCAATGGACTAATGGGCTAAAGATTCAGTCCTCTGGTTCTTTTCACTCTTACTTCTTGAGAAACAAAGTTTTCAGTATTGTGGTTGCGTGCATATATTTTTTTGCCACATGCATCTCCATGCTTGCGTCAATTATTATATGCTTGTGGATTGACCAGAATTAATCCCTCCTGCAAGCTGTTACTGTCAAATAGTAGAACTTAAGACCTTGGATGTGGCTGGACCACAAACCAAACCTAAAGATATGTTTGGAAACTTCAGAAATGGACTAATCTAGTTTTTAGACCAATTTGATGGGGCAGTTTATCTACAGGTCTATGTTGATATTTGAACTAATGTCATGAGGTAAAGTTATTATGTAAAACTCAAAAGGATTTTAAAAGCGTTCATTATAACTAAAATTATGACAATCCCTACTAGTGGATTGGGGATAACATGTGTTTGCGGTATACGAAAATTCCCAAAATGATGGGACCAACCTTTTTATATGCACATGCAAACCAAGTAATACATTTTTTAAAAGTTGCACTAGTTTTTGTCAATTCTGTGGTTTTCAAGTATAAAATTATAGGAAGTGATTTTTGTAAGTGACGTTGGGCCAGTAATTAACTATTTACGGGTAATGTCTTTCCTCATAATTTTTTACTCATTTAATTAATTGAAAATGCCTTCTCTTCATTTAGTAACATGTTCTGCATCAGTTATAGTAACTACCTAGTATATGAGCATAGGGTGCCTCTCCTCTTAGCATCAATTTGTTATAATATGATTGCATTATCAAGGAAACCAGGTATCCTTAGTTGCTTATGGAGGAAGAATGTGAGAAAGAATGATATAAAAAATGATAAGGATATGATCCTAAGACATCTTTACATGGAATTTTATGTCTACTTATGGTTAGTGATACATGTTTAAACTACTCAAAAATCCAAAACCTTCAAACTTTGAAAATGCTAGATAATTTCATGCCTATCTCTGTATTTCTTTTCTTCCAGCTCCTTATCTATAGAAAATTTGCCTGTTTGTATTAACTCAGTCCTTGGAACCTGTATATACCTAACAGCATATTTCTTGAAACCATTAATTGAAGTTAGTTATAAATTATACCGTGTTGTGTTATCAATTTTATGAGGCATTTTTTTATTATGTCACTGTTTTCCAACATAATATTTCAATGAATTGAAGATGACTTACTATGCAAAATTGCTAAAAGTATTACTTTTCATGAAGTCATCAACTCAACTTCTTTGCATATGCCAGTTTTGCAACACCATCTATTTTGTGCAACTATTTTCACACCTTTTCTTCAGGTCAAGTGTTATATTGCTGATTCTTGTCAAATTTAAGTTAGATTTTTGATTCTGGAAAAGAAGAACATTCATGTACACATTGACAGTTGAACATTATGTGGTGGTAGGTGGCTCTTGCGCAGTCTTGCTCAAATGCTTCTCATGGCCTTCAGGAAAGGGCTGCTGGTGCTCTGTGGGGATTGTCTGTCTCTGAAGTTAATAGGTACGAATGAGCATAGATTTGTTACTATTTGCATGATTCTACTGCTACTACTGATGGTCCTAGGTAATTATAATAAAATTCAACCCTAAAGCTTGCACTGCAGTATTATCGTTTCGAGATATTCAATCAGCTTAACTCTGTTAATGGACTTAGAGGTAAATGACTTGAATAAATCTGCTTTGTAGTTTGAGACACAATTCAGAGCCAATATCCTGCTCAATCATCTCGGTCCCAGTTGATGGACTTGTACTTCCCCCAAGAGTAAACAAATAGCCTGCTATTAGCATTTCTTATATCCCTACTCCGGGTAGCTAAAGAGATCCCACAAGGAGTAGGGTACTTAATAGAGCACCTCCCTGGATGTTCCACCCTAGATAATATTTTTTACTGCATAGGTATCGATATAGTTATGTTATCACTTATCTCAAATCTTATGGGTAAAGCATTGTAGTGTTATCAGCCATCAAGCTTATCAGTGCTATATCTGCTAGTATTGATGAGAAAGAATAGTCAGGTTTTAGAACCTATTCATTTCCTGTCATCTCTTCGAAGGAAAATAATTGCATTGCCATTGTTGGTCAGGAAAGGTACTAACTAAGTAAGAACCTCTTTTTCAGTGTCTACTCTTAAAAGCTTTCTATTTAAACTTATTCTGTATTTGCCAACGATTTAAATGAAGGATTTGATCTCATTCCTTGTTTTTCAAACTCATTGTATTTAAATCAATCCCATCACCACTATTTTTCCTGAATGCATGTACCAAGTCTGCGGGCGTAAGATTCTTATATAAGATAATGCACTCGTAGAACAGTGCATATTGCGTATAATTCAGAGGGTATGCTCAAAGGACTTTACATCGTATCTTCAACTTAAATTCACAAAAGGAGTTTTTATCGTTTTTATCAACTTCTGCACGAAGCTTTATTGCCTTTGCAGTGACGAAAATTCAGCTTCTAATTTTTCTTGATAACATGTTTTTGTAACACCTACTGCTTATAGGCTTAAGTAATATTTCAAATAACTAATTAGTTCTTACTCTCAATTCTACTTGCTTTCAACTGATTCACATAGCTAATCATTTTAATTAACATGCATGCTTGAGTGAAGGAAATGATGACAATTGTTTGGTAACAGTCTCAAATTTTCTAGGTCTAATTGTTCTGAACAGAATAGACAGAAGAAAGATTATGTGGACTTCACAAGAAATTATTTAACCATTTGGAAACTGGGTGAAATTTTCTTATTAGGGAGAACATAAAGAAAGGGAGATTTGGCACATAACTAAGAGGGATATAGTGGTAATGAAATTTTCATTAGTAAAGATATACTTCATCTTTTGGAAACAGTAAGAATGTGTTTGATTGCAAGCATGAAACTTACATGGAAAAAATGTTTTAGGCAATTGAATTGCCTAGAACTTATTTGAATGGAAATTGTCAATTAAATGTGTTTGATTGATTTAATTATTAACTTAAAAAATATATTTTTGACTATATTTTATTGGTGGATAGATGAGAGAAATAAAGAGAGAATTACATAAAAATAAAANAAAAAAAAAAACACCCCCCCCCCCCCCCCCCCCCCCCCCCAAAGAAAACATTTTCCTTGTTTTTGAAGAAAACATGGTCACGTGACCAAGTTTTGGAAAATATTTTCTATGAAAAAATGTGAATCAAACATCCCAAAAATAGGAACTTGGGTGGAAAAATGACATTTTTATGGAAAATGAAGCCAGTGAAACACACCCTAAGAGTAAATATTTATAGCCATTCATTTATTGTTGTATTCTTATCATATTATGTTCATTGATGATGGTTTTGAGCTCAGAGTTTTATCACACAAGGTCTCCAGACGTTTTGAAGTAGGGAAAATGAGCACTTTAGCTTCACCCTTCTTTCAACACCAAAACACAAATAACACTATTTTCTGAATGAAAAGATTAAATTTCTTTAGCTGGAAACAGAAAACTGTAAGAAACAATATTTAACAGCTGTTCAGTTACTAGGAATATTCCTACACATCAAATTGCAGCAAACTGTATTTAGGCTTGAATTAGATCAGTGAGATTGCTGTTTGCGAACAACTACCATCTTATCTTTTTTGTTTCACGTTCAATTAGTTGGTAGATAATGGTTTCCCCTGTCATTGTATGGTTTCTTCTGGCTACCACCTAGAAAATATGTATCATGTATATGTTTCTTCTTTTATAGTATCGCGATTGGCCGAGAAGGAGGCGTGGCACCCCTAATAACATTGGCACGATCAGATGCAGAGGTAAACATATTATTTGTGAGTCATCATTATTGCCTTCTCACTTGTCTCTTGGCTTCTTGTTTGTGATAACCAAGTATGGTATTCGCTCTCTCTCACATGACATCTGGTCAATTGTTAGTTCTTACCTTGAATCAAGTTTGCATTTGAATTTTAACAATGCCTGCTTTTGTCAATTTCTTTTAATCTAACATGATCTTGAAACTAATTCAATTGCTTACATCAATAAATTCCCTTCTTTTCTTTCTACATGCCCCGTGAAGATTATACGCTTTATTCCAATTTAAACTTTTCCTGTGGGCCTTTTTTTGTGTGTGCGCTTTGTGGACTGCCTAAAATTCTTGTTTTCAAGTCACACGCTATTTGTTTCTGATCATATCTGTCTAACAAGCCAATATCTTCATTTCTAATACAAGCCTGTTCATGGATTATAACTGTAACACTTTATCTTATAAATATTAATCGCTAAATTGTGGAGCCCCGAAAATTTCATAGAATAGAATTTAATTATTCTAGGTGCTATATTTTATATTTTTTAAAGAAAAGGGAGATTAAAGTGATATGTATTAATTCAATTTTACTTGGATCAAATATTTAGATTTTTTTATAGAGCGATGAAAAGTATTACAATATGGGGCTCGTTGGATAACTCATAATTAATCATATATATTAGGCTCGAGAAAAAGTTAATTCGGATAAAAGAAGCCTAAGTTATTGAAGTTTAAAGAAGTTATTAATTGGTTTTGATAAATTAAATATTGGATTTGAAATGGGTAGGAGCCACGTGTAAAATTAGATAGAGATAAGTTTTTTTTCCCACAGCCACGTGAAAAGTGAGGAGCACTGTTCACGTGAACAGTGCCACTGTTCACGTTTCACTTTTTTTTTTCTCTTCCCAAAAGAGTCTACAATAAATTTAAACTTGGGCTCTGATACCAAAGTGTAATAACCCAAATTTTTAATATTTAAATCGTTACTATAAGTTTCATTTAATTCTACGCCATATTTAATTCATTTCGTAATTAAATAAATATTTCAAATATCATAACGTAAAATTTTTTGTTCCAATATTAAATAAACATATGGACAAACATAACCAAATAAAATATGTTTCAGACCTTAAATAACAAATCCACATAATAATAAAACTATAGTAAATACTGAAAATAAAATCTATAGTCATGTTACATCGGATTTAATTTATTAAGTCCAATGAATCCAAGCACAACGACTGCAACTCATTGCCTGCCATCCAACGGTCTATTCTAATATGTGAGAGGTGGGAAAAATGGTGAATACATAAGAATACTTAGTAGGACACAAATAATGTGTAATCCCGAATAAAAATATTAAATCGTGCGTAAAAAATATGATACAGTGATATCATATCTGTAGAAACCAGTAAAAGCTCAATAAATATTATATCTTTGGCACCGAATGACTATAACATACATACCATATCATATCATAACTTTTATTAGCATAATATTTATCAACATGAAAAAATAAATTAAACTGGACAAACCACTTGCACCTCGTAATCCTACCTCACTTGATCAATCAAATTTTGAAAGAAACAGAGCACGTTTTCAATTTTTATTTTCTACCTACTACTGCAGTTGTATGTGTATGTATATTCCGATATGAGAATAAAGAGGTAAATGCATAGTATTTAAGTTAAAAAAGGACAATTGAAGTTTTGGTAGAATGGAGCTACATAGAGCTGTGGGCCACCATGCAAAGTTCACTATCAATAATATTCTACTTCATCATTATCCCATCTAACACAAAAAAAAAAAAAAAAACCCCCAATAAACTTCCTTTTTGTTGTGTATTTTTTATAAATCAGCGTTTATATATAGATGTTTCTGAGGCCAAAGTTCTAGCACGAGAAAGTCGAAGTACTTTGAATTAAAGAATGATTAATAATATTAAGGAGATAAATAATTATTTATTTGATTTGAAAACAAAAATACTTGTTATTT